CACTGATTGACAGTAACTCCTTGCAGGGCCAAAATAAGCAGGATTCTGAGGCTCAGTCCAAACTCACTGGGGAAAGACTGACTCGATCAGTTCATGAGCACCTGCCATAGACATTATATTTCTATGATTGTGGTGTTGATAACGAAGGTGTGGAGTGTGGCATTATGACATCATGCATTTGTTTGCACTTCAACTTGGGTGGATGTTAGGTACCTTTCATTTAACGTGGCATCCAAGAGATGATAATGAAATGTTAGGTTAAATTCTTTTTAGCATATAGTGCATTGGAAATAAATGATTAGAGAAATGATCACCTCATAAAAATCTGAAAATTTGTCTAAGTAAGGAAATTGCTGATCCCTAAAGGGAAGGTAGAATTTGACCAGTGCTCAGAATTTGTGAGAATTTCAAACCAAAGTTTGGACACAAGCTTTCCCTCACTTCTAACGCCAGGGTATTTTTAATAATCAAAACAAGAAACTTGGAGTCAGAAGTCTTAGAATATTCTCATTCTTCTTTTACCAAGTTGTATGACCTCAGGAGCCTTCTAGGCCTTATCCTCAGTCACCAGAGAGTTTCTCCAGCGCCACTGGACTTTCACAAGCTACCCACATCGAATGTAAACATTAACAGATATCTGCAGGAGGTATTAAAACATCAGACTGTTTCTCAGAGTTCTCAGAGTTCACTTAACAACAACAGCAGGCTTTTGAGTCACAGAAGAAGGGAATCTCTTGTCCTTATATTTTCATTTGTTTCTTGTTTTAAACAGCAGTGAACATTTTTTGATGTTTCAATCATCAAAAATACTGGGCTGGACTAGATGGAGAATGTGGAAAATTGTTTTCATATAAAATCACATTTGGGTTTTTTTTCATAGTATTTTAGGCTTCTGCACAAAGAAAGCAGTGAGGGTGAGGAGCTGGGGCTAGACCAGCTGCTCACATTATATTTCTATGATTCTGGTGTTGGAGATGATGAAGAAGGTCATTTTATTAGGCTCAACTTTCTTAAATTACAGAAGAGTTCATTGGCGTTGGCCACGGACAGGAAAAGGTAGGCCAGTGAAATTTAGTGTTTGTAGTAAAAATATGCAATGTTGTCATAGGGCTGAAGTTAGTGAACAAATAAGGTTAATGAATGAATGAACCCAATAGTAGAAATGACATGTTTGAGAACTCTCCCCGCCCACACACACACACAAAAATAAGAGAGAGAGAGAAGGAGAGAGCATAAGAATATGATTTAGGGTCAAGGAAATCACTTGCCCAATGTGAGGATTACTTCAATAAGTGGCAAGTAACAGGTCAGATCAGGATTAGTTGTTAAAGGCACAAGAGAAGCTGTGGGCAGAGCGGCAAGAAAATTGACAAGCACACATAAAGGAAAGTGGATGGGAATTTTCAGAGAGCACAAAAAAAGGCAGAGTACTACTGCAGTATGAATTTTTAAATTCTCCTATGTTTATGCTACAAATGCTCTATAACAGCCCCCAACATTTTTGGCACCAGGAACCGGTGCTCCCATGAGAATCTAATGCCTGATGATCTGAGGTGGAGCTGAGGTGGTGATGCTAGCGCTGGGGAGCAGCTGCAAATACAGATGAAGCTTTGATGGCTCCCCTGCTGCTCACCTCTTGCTGTGCAGCCCCTTTCCTGACAGGCCATAGACCAGTACCCACCCACAGCCCAGGGGTTGGGGACCCCTGCTCTATAAGATATAAAGGAACATGGAACGTGATCTGCTCTATTATGTTCTATCTTTTATTGCTCTACGTTCTCTCAAGCAGACTCTTCCTGAAGTATTCTCATGTTATTAATAATAAAAATCTTTAAAACGAATAAATATTTAACACATTTCTTGAGCGCCTGCTGTATGCCAGCAGTTTGGTGGGAGCGTGGTATGCTCAGGTGAGTGGCACAGTCCTCTTTCTGAAGAGCTTAGGAATAAGGAAGTTGTACTAAGTTCCGTGGAAGAAGAACGGGTAGGAGAAGGTCACAGAGGGAAAATGAAAATAAGAGTTTCTAAAGAAAATATATGAAGGAATTTTTCTGGATAAATTCTTGTAGGAAAAGTTAGCTGTGTATAGAAGAAAGAAATTGCGTTAGAGACTCTTCTATTTAGTTATTTGTTCCATTAGGGAGGCTCACTGGGCAGGAGCAGGGGCTGCTAAGGCTGCACAGAGGTCGTCCTCAGAGCAGGGGAAGGACATTAACTCAGGGAACGCGGTGAAGGGTTCTTGGGAAGTCTCCGTTCTAGAAGGATCATCAGACTTCAGGAGCTAAAGCCAGAGTTGCATAAGGTAGTAAAGGCATGGCATGAAAAAGGGATATTCTGTTCTACCTATCTACTTATCAATTGATCAGTCATCATTTAGCTGCCATATACAAAGGGACAGAGATAAGTGAGAGTATGGAAAACTGCAAGTAGTTAGGATTTAATTTTGAGTACTCGTTGTATACTAGGCCTTATGCAAAGCCCTTTGCATCCAAGCATCAAGGTCAAGGTCGGAGTCAAACGAAAGTGGTTCTAGTCCCAGCCCCATCACTTACTAATTCTCTGACTTTGAACAATTCATTTAGTGTCTCCAGATCTCAGTTTTTCTCATCTGTAAAATGAAGGTAGTTATAATACCAACCTCACAGCAAAAAAACCAGGTTTTCTGTATGAAATCGCTTTGCGTGTTGTGGGCATGTGGCAAGCGCTTAACAAATGCTGGCTCATTTTTTAAATTACAGCTTGTGTTTTATTCATTTACTGCCCTGCCAGAGGGAGCTGTGGTTTAGAAATGTGCCCAGGAAACTGCTCATGAGCGATGGAGCCAGCCCCGCCTGGTTGCCTCGCACATTACGGGGTAGGTGTTAGAAATGAGGCCGTGGAGAGCCTCAGTGGGACCTTAAGGTCAAGACTGACAAGGCCAGATTTGCATTTTAGAAAGATTGTTCTGGCAGCAATAAACAGGATGGTTTGACGGTAGCCGAAAGCCCAGTGAGGAAGCTGTCGAGGTAGTCCAGAGAGAAAGGCCACGAGTGCACACAGCCGGTAGCAGTGGGATGGACAGGAACTGGGCATTTGGTCAAAGCGGGGGGGATGCCGGTGGAAGGAGACGGGGAGGGAGCACTGAGTGGGAAGGATTTGACTGCTCCAGGGTTTCTGGCCTTACTGAGCGGGTATGTGGTGGCAAGACGGAGTAAATGAAAAATAAAGCTTCAGCTATTACCAAATGCCAGCAATATAAGGCTGTTGGTAAACTGCAGGGTGGCTGACATGGTGGATAGTCTTTCGTGAAGAACTATAGAAACATTCATTTAAAACTTTACAGTTAAGCGGGATAGTTATTGAAATCTCATAAGGGAGACTTATTTCACCATAGGAATAAACCAGTGATATTCTTACAATAGAAGAGGAAAAGACGATTACCCAAGACTGGTAGAAACTTTAAGACTAGCCTAGCCTTTAAGAAGGAAGCAATAGGTAAGAGGAAGAGATAAAAATGAGTAGATTCTCGGAGATGGGGGAAAAGACAAATTCAGAAATTTTGAGTTCAGTTGAGGAGATGGGTAGGTGAGAATGTGAAAACATTGTTGCTTTCTCTATGTAAACATATACACTTCAGGACATAATGCACAGTCCCTTGAGCAGCAGATACTCAAGGAGTACCGGTGTGGCAAGTAAAGAGCAGGGCAAAGGTGGCAGCACTCAGTCTGGCGAGGACCCTATCAACATGCCCTTAGAGTATGGAATTTGCTAGGAAAGAGGAGGTTGGGGACTATAAGAGAATGGGGGGCTAATTTAGATTGAGAGGTCACTAGCCAGCATTTCCAGGCTTGCTCCCAGATGACCCTCCAAAGTGAAGCCAAATTGGATGTGGTATTTAGAAAGTCTGAGACTCACTGGTTTAAATACTAAGTTAGCAAAAGGGCCATGGCAGCCAAAACAGATAGGTAGGTGCTTAGAGCAGCCAAGCTAATTCCAGGAAGGCAGTGGGAAAAAGGGTGAAAGGCTTTTCAGGGGAGGTAGCCAGAATGTCTTGTTTTGTCAGTATTGCCCAGTGGGGTAGAAGCTGCCAAATGTTGAAATGGTGGTTTTGCACCCAGTAACCACAACCAGAGCAGTGGTGGATAGAAGAGAGCCAAGAAGACGGAGGCAAGGGTTGTGTTAAACCATGCCAGCTGCTGACAAAACCCTGTGCTCAGAGTGGGTTCAGAACCCCCTGATGGCGGTGTAATTATTTCACCATCCTGTCGCTCTCAGACAGGAAACTGCTGAGAATGAAACACAGGATGGCCCAGAGCTGACAGAAGGAAGAAACCAGGGCCACACCATAGAATGCAAAGAATGCTATCTCCTTCTTGCCTGTGGGGATCTTCACTTCCCCAGAAGAATTAGAGACCGCAGAATCCTTGGCAAGAAACAACTGTGGGAACATAAGGGCACTATGACCAAGGAGACGCGGAGATACGATGCCTGAAGAGAGGCCTCTGCTCTCTGTCCACAGTGCTTTTCCTTTCAGTCGCCTTTTGCTAATGTCCCATTGATCTTAACCGTTCTCCCTGGCAGATAGAGGTTGGAAAGGTTGGGTTGGTGGGTTGAAATGTGGGATTATGAGAGAAAAGAAAAAGTGAAAGGCTGGACAGCACCTGGTGAACGCAGACTCTCAACCCTGCCCCAGATCTGTGGATGGCAGGACAGTGGATGATCTAGTCAGCTTTCCAGGTGACTCTTAGTTACACTGATGCCACCTTCGGTATAGTAGGTGGTGTGGGACCTAGGGAACAATTCTCAAACCTGCCTGATGACCTTGATGTCCCTGGGCCCAACCCTAGGACAACGGAGTAAAACTTTGGGCGTGAGGAGGACAGAGGCCATGCAGTTGGCCTCTTGGAGCCCCACCAGGTTTGGGAGCCACTGGGCTAATGTAATATTTAATATTCTTTAAATATGCGTTTATTGGACATTTAAGAGTATCTAATTCTTTTTCTCTTTTCTTTCTTTGCTAGGCACTGGGAAATCATGAATTTGATAATGGTCCAGAAGGTCTGATTGATCCACTTCTCAAAGAGGCCAGATTTCCAATTTTGAGTGCAAACATTAAGGCAAAGGGGCCACTAGCATCTCAAATATCAGGACTTTATTTTTCATATAAAAATCTTTCTGTTGGTGGTGAAGTTGTGGGAATTGTTGGATATACTTCAAAAGAAACCCCTTTTCTCTCAAACCCAGGTATTTTCTACTTTTATAGCACTCGGGGCTTGAAAATAGCTGCACCAAATCAGAGCTTGGTGTTATTTTTATGGACTGTAGGTAAAAGTAAGAACCACACATGGTATCGGGCAAATAACGTACTTAGGATAACATGTTAAACCAGGCTGGTGGCTTCCACATTGTCCTAAGTTACCTCTTACAGACATTTGCTCTTCTGCTCAGTGAACTTGTCTGTTGACATAAACAGTATCTTTGTTTAATTCAGTGCATTCAAAGTTGGACAAGAAGTCCATTTATATCCAGGGCGAAACAGTACAAAGTCATTTACTGGAGAATGAGAGCCACGTAACTCACTGCCCTTTTCCTATGGGGCCAGAGCACCCAGGGACAGGGTTTTTACCTCAACTTACTTTATCTTTCCTTTTTTAGTATTATTATTCCATGTCTAGTTAACTCTCCTTTCCTCCTTTGTGTTATTTATCTCTTGTAGTTTTAATGACTTTGTCGTATCTGGCTTTCTGAGAAATAGATACATATTCTTGAATGGTCTAATGATATATATTGACTTTATCTATATATCTATTTATACATATATATTCATATGTAATCCTAAGACCATTCAAGAAACATTTTTGAGCCACTTTTACAGGAACACTTTCACCAAAATACTTGGGCAGTGAGAACAAAAAATGACATTTTTTTTTCTACATTATCCACATTAATTTTCTTTCCATACTTGAAGAAAAAAGGAAAACTAGGAGCTGGCAGAAACCAGCGTTTTTATTAAGAATTAACTAATAAAAGGGCATCTAATTATTTAACAATTAGAAAAGTAATATATTATTGTTGTTGTTAAAATAGGTCCAGGTCATTGGAAACAACAAAAAGGCCAGCTGTACTTGACCCTGAGCAGCATGGCTGCTCCCGAGGGGAGAGGGGCCTGCCGCCAGCTTGGGGCAGGACAGGCATCAGACATGGACTTGGGTGCTCTCCACTAAGAGGAGGTGGGGAGTGTCAGGTGCTCCAGGCAGCAGGTAGACAGCTGGTGCACAGGTGACCAAGCCTTTGCACACTGTCTGACACACAGTAGCTGTTGTTGATGTCATCGTGGAGCCAGAGGGTGGTTGTGGACATCCAAGTCACTGGCTTTTGAAGTGTTATAGAAGTGCTCTTCTGACTAAGAATGTGGTCTCACCGGAAGAACGTGACCAACAGTCTCGGGCTGCTCCCCACCCCACCCAGCCTGACTGGTCCTCCCTCCCCCTGTAGACTGGGCTGTCTAACTGATCAGACTTCCCCTGGGGTTAAGGGCCTGAGGCTGCTTTAGGCCTGCTGGTACTTTTCTGCAAAGAGGAGAGGATGGAGATTACAGAGTGAAGCGGGCTTCCCGACTTCTAGCAAACCAGTTGCCAGTGAGGGTAAGGCTGGGCGACGTGAGTTACCGCCGAGGTTCATTTGCTGCCGTCCTTGCTGCTAGTCCCCATCAGAACCAGCACTGGGTCCCCAGCACCACTAGAACTGCACTAGCCTGCACTGGTCCCCTTTCAGCGAACATCTGGAACCTAACACAGAGGCCAGCTTGGGATCTTTGGATAAAGATGTAGATTTGGTGAATAATTGAATAATTATGTGTCTCCATAATTTATATTTCATCCACAGGTTTTTGTAGTTAATTTAAGATAGAATGTAATTAAATGACATAAGAGAGTCATAAGCAGAGACACAGGAAGAAAGGGCAAAAGGAGTGATGGCCAAGTTAGGGGTCGGACAGACTTGGTGAAGAACCCCTTGGCCTCCTTGAGGGCCATGGGAAGCATCCTGAGGCCAAGGGCATTCCAGAGGCGGGGTCAAAGTCAGGTGCTAGCATACATGCTCTGTGAGGGCAGGGGTCTTATTTGTCTCATTCACTGCCTTATGTTCTGCATAGTGCCCAGCATATGGGAAGTTCTCAGTAAATGTTGCTGGAATGGATACATGAGAGCAGGGGATGTGGGGACCACAACCACAAAATAGCAGGTA